CTTCCTTCCAAGGAGTGGCTGGTGGGTTTGAACTGCCAGCCTTCTGGTTAGCAGTCAAACACCCTAGGCACTACACCACCAGAGTTCCTGTATCTATCTGTCTATCTACCCACTGCATCGAGTCAGATCCGACTCACAGCAACCCCTCCTTGGGTTTCCAAGGCAGTATCACTACGGAAGTAGATTGCCTAATCTTCCTTTTGAGGAGTGACTGATACATATATATAAAATTCTGTATCATTCTAGTATACCCCACATGTCAATTTCAAGAAACAATCTGGAACTGGGAATTACTAACATCATCTAAGTAGAGACCAAAATAAAGAATTCACTAATGGTTTGCTCTGCCTATCCCTGAGGCAAACTTTGTTCCATGGTATCTCATAGTTTTGATTCATAACTGGCTCTTTCCACTTTTGCAATTTATAAATGGCCTTGTAATATTTTGGTAGCTGTTCTTCAACTTTTTCTCCTAGCTTGATTTATAAGCAAACTACTTATTATGAACAAAATTAGAAAGATTTACAACCAACCCTAAAGGCATTGATGTCCAGACTTCGGTCCATGTATTTCTTCTTCTCATATTTATCTCGGATAAATCCCTCGACAGCTCTGCAAAAAGCTTATTAAGGATGAATCAAACAAGTCTTGCCAACAATATAAACAAAAAAGGTCAATTTGCATCCCCCGGAGCTTTGTTCTCCCTCCTTCTTGCTTCATTTCCCCATAGGGCTCATGTTTCTTCATGGGCAGCTTCCTGACCAAATCCCTGGAATGCCTCCTTCGCAGTTACTGCAGGGAATCATTATTTCCTAATATTTTCTTTATTTATCCCATGATCAGAATGATGAAGGCAGCAAAGGAATTAACCTTCATATTGATATTAGAGGTGGCTGTGGCTATTCTAGAATACAACTAAAATAGTCAATAATAATCTATTTTAAAGCCTTTAGGTCAAAAGGCCTCAAACATAGACATGTGAAAAACCAAAACCATACTCAACTGCCATCGAGTGAACTCTGACTTTCCAAGGCTGTAAATCTTTACAGAAGCAGATCACCTTATCTTTCTTCTGTGGAGTGGCTGGTGGCTGGTGGGTTCGAACCAGTGACCTTTGGTTAGCAGCCAAATTCCTTAAGCACTACACCACCAGAGCTCCTTTTATAGGCACCTTGTTGTTGTTGTTGTTATGTGCCTTCAAGTCGGACTCAACTCATAGCGACCCTTCCTTGGGTTTCCGAGGCAGTATCACTACGGAAGTAGATTGCCCAACCTTCCTTCCTAGTTTATAGGCATTCAAATGGCCCTCAAGAACATATAAACTCTTGAGCCCCACTGCCAGATTCTGATCTGTGAGTCTTCTGCAGGGCACTCAAATCTGCATTTTAACAAGTTCTATCTGCACTCCCCCAAAAGAGAACTCTGACAGGATGATCTACAAATCACATTTTGAGAAACACTGCCTCAGGGGGTTGGTTTTGTTTGCTGGGTGCCATCTCTTTTTGAGGGGTAAGGGAAGAAAGTTATTGATAAACTAGTCAACAACTTCCAACAAGAACTCTTCTGCTTCACAGAAGCAGTTCACCAGGCCTCCCTTCTGCAGAGGTGCTCAGTGGGTTCATTCAGACCTCCAAACTTTAGGTTAGCATACAGTAGGGCCCTTAACATTTATCAGGGAAAAAAATCTCAAGATCTTTTTAATACTTTCACATAGGACACAAATAGGCAATAAAAATGAACAGTTTCGCTGATTGCTAGGGCTCAACAGAACACATTAAGCTATTCTTTTCATCAAACAATAGTTTCAGAGATCCAAAAACTATTGGAGATGTCACTTTATAGAAGAATTCCTAGTGAAACCACTGCAGTCTTCATTCCTAAATGAGTCTTCCCATGAGATACAACATGACACTTGTCACACATGTGCTTTTTGTGTGTCTAGGTTATAGGGGAGGTAAAAACACAAGAGCTCTGATGAAACCACATAGAAATGGTCCATTCAGATCACAGGCCTTAAGTCTTGTATGACTCTCCCAAAACACCAAAACGACACTCAGCTTCTAGATTGCTCCAGAAAAGATACGGGTCTATCTGAGGTCGGCGAAAGGTCTCAGGAAGATAGGCTTCATAAAGTCGGTTTGCTTTTCCATTCCCCATCTCTTGCATGCACTGCAGACAAAGAGAATGTGGAAATATGGAATATCAGATTAGGAAAGAGGTGAAAAAATTCTCAGCGAATCCCATCATTTTACAGATAAAGAACCAATCTAAAGAGTGGCAGGACCAAGATACAAACCTGTGTATTTTGATCTCCAATCCAAGATTCTCTCTATTTTACTAGGAGATCCCAACCATTTGCCTCCACGGCTATCTTTTTTTTCTTTCTCTCCATGGATTCTTTATATTGAAAGATTTGCCTACCAAGATCATTTGATTCAATAAAAGTCCTTATTTGGAAATCAAGACACATAGCTACCAATCAAACTATCTAATTGGCAGGCAATAATCATTATTATAATTCTGAGTTTATATTATTAACTAATCTACTTGGATTTATTACCAATAAATGTATGTTACTTAACTAGGGGAAAAAAAAACTTTTAAATGCCACGTTGCCATGGAGTCGATTCTGACTCCTGACGACCCTAACATATTACAGCGTAGAACTGCCCCGGAGGGTTTTCTTGGCTATAATCTTCATGGAAGCAGTGCACCAGGCCTTCCTTCTGCAGAGGTGCTCAGTGGGTTCATTCAAACCTCCAAACTTCAGGTTAGCATACAGTAGGGCCCTTAACATTTATTGGGGAAAAAAAATCTCAAGATCTTTTTAAATCTTCAAATTCTCAAATAGCCCCATGGAATATGATTTCTCTTATAAGACAGAGTTAAATATAATGACAAATTATAACTCACTCTTTTAGATCTTTTCTGATTCTACAAAAAGAATAACCAACATAGTAATTGGCTTTCTTTGGGGGCCTCCTTTCCTCCCAAAAAAAGAATTATTATTTTTTTAAAATCACTTAAAAAAGTTTCACTGCAGGAATAGAACAGAGAACAATGAAGCTACAAGATGCGGATCTAAGGCCTGTTGAACTCACTCATTACCTTAAGTGAGTCACTACTAGCCTATCAACCTAACAGCAAGTAAGATTCATATGTGAATTTTAATATGTTTTTAAAAGCTTATGATTTGCATGGGTTTTTTTTTTTTTTTGAGGGGTGGTGGTGGTGGTGGTGAACATCCAAAACTAAAAATGTTAAATTTGTAAATGCTACAAGCCTTGGAAAATCATCCAAAGACTCTCTTTAATACTTTCACAGACCCAGTGGGTACTAGATTATATGCTGTACTATGAAGGAGATAAAATAGAGGTATTACAACTCCCATCTTAAAGAAGAAAGACTTAAAAGTTCTCTATTAAGGTATGATAATTTAGTATTTATTAATTTAAATATTTAACAACTAAACATTCCTTTATCTTCACTTTTGTCCCCAGCTGGACTAAAATTCATCTTGAACTACTTTCACATGGAAATATGGGAGCAGTTGCCTCTTGGGCTGCGCAAGTACCTGAATCTGTTCTTGAGTCCACTGGTCGAGGTTAACTGATTTTACCCTGGATATGTGTACCCCCAGATTCCTGTGGATTCCAGCACATCGAATGCAGATGAAGACGCCAATGTTCCAGGAGGCCCATCGGGGTCCTGTGAAGGTCAGGAACAGGGCAAGAAAGTACACATTATAGCAATCTTTCAGCCCAAGCTGTACTACCACCTGCTAACCCCGCACAGCAGGAAGCACCAAGGCAGCAGAAAATGATCAGACACTTCTGCTAGAACAGAAGAGGCAGAATTTTTACCACTCTCCCTTTTATTGGTTTTAGTTCATTCCTCTACAAGTGGTTTTTTTTTTTTTTTTGCTTATTTTTAATTTTTTAAGTGTACAATTCGTGGCTTTTATTTTATTTATACGGTATGCAACCAACACCACTCCTAATTCCAGAACACTTTCATCACTCTGAAAAAAGAGACTATATCCATTAGCAGGCACTCTTCATTTCCTCCCAACCTCCCAGCTCCTGGTAACCACAAATTTTGTCTCTCTAGATTTGCGTATTCGGAACATTTCATATATAAGTGGGATTATACAATATGTTGGCTTTAGTACATGGAGCAGTTTTTACAATGAGAATATAAGTACTGAAACCCAAATGCTATAAGATGTCACTACTCGTATAAGGAAAAATCCCAGGAGAGCGTTGCAAAGTGATGTCACAATCTACTTTGCCTGGCACCATGAACACCCCTCCCCTAAAAAGCTTCTCAGTGGTGGTGGCCTGGATTCAGTTTTCCTACTAGGGAAAAAGATACAGCCATGCCACGCCAGCCCAAGGCTCTACCTGAAATTTAAACTTTGTTTATCCTCCCTTCCCCTCAGGCCCATAAAATATGCATCTAGACTTAATAGGATCCTTCTCCTTGGGCTGATGTCCCTACTTTACCCAACTACACAATTATCTAGAATTATCTGGATTTAAGATGGCCAAATTAAAAGATGCCCACTGTAAATAAACAAACTCAGATGAGTATTTGAAAAAACAAACAAACAAACATTAAACTGTTATAAAATCTCCCATCCCCTGTCAACTTTGCTCATCCTACTAATCATTCTGGAATACTATCAAACCCTTCTTCATAATTCTTATAATGGAAAAAGTGACTTTCATATGACACCTAACAAAGACTTACTGAAAACCAGAAATATTTCCTTCCCTAGCATTCCACTAGACAGAAATATGCCATATAAACATGATGTCACAGGTAGAGGTTGCAATAAAGAGGTGAAAAAGACATGCACTGGTTTTCTGTAGAGATAAACAGGACCTGCGTTTGGAACAACAAAGAGCAATGAGACTTCACTTTTGCAGGACACAATTATTTGCTTAGCTTGAGGTTTTGAGAGCAGTTTTAAAGGAATACTAGAGTTATATGGCAGGAAATTATCCTCAGAAATGTGAGTTTATGATTATTATAATAGAAAATGTCTTTTTTTTTTTTTTTTACAAAGATATCACTCATTCTGTGTCAAATACTACAAATACAGAATGCTTAAATCCTCCTTATAACCACCAGGTGGTGTTCTCTGCCTGAAATTTTATCCCAATACTTAATGCTACTATCTTGATAGGTTCAGCTTTATCTTTTAAAAAGATCATCAGTAGCTCCAAATCTGTCGAGAGAGACTTGCACAGTAGTTCTGTCATATAGCTAATAAACTCACATGCGACTCACACACTTGCTTCAGAGGGTGGGGAGTTCATGTAAATACAAAATGAAACAAACAGATGTGAATGAGAGCTGTTAGAGGCTGTACATTATTAGGCTAAAGTTTTCATAAAGGAATTCTGATGAACTCTACATTATATTGAACTGAAAACGGGACTGAGAGTTATCTTTCCTATTTCTTTACCATTTTTCTTTTGCTCTAGATTCTGGAGTGTAGAACTCATGATAAAATCGTCAAAATGTATTTGTTTGCTAACAAAGTCAGAAGCCAAAACACTAATTATAAGTCAGCTATGGAATGTTAGTTATCCTGTTTGGTTCTTGGCCCTAAATCCAGAGAAGCCATTCCCCAATCAACTAAACCACTGTCACAAAAGGAATTTCTGTGGATCCTGTACCAAAGTATGTAAGGTGGTCCTTTTGTTCTGGTGGAGAGCAGTAAAGTGCTCAGCTGCTGAACAAAAAATTGGCAGTGCAAACCCACCAGGTAGATGTGGCTGTCAGTTTGGGGCAGTTCTCTGTGTCCTATAAGGTCACTATGAGTTGGAATTGACTCAACAGCAATGGATTTTGCCTCTGAGGAATTTAAGACCAGGACTGGGTGATCTGGGCCACTGACAAGGTCTTGGTACAGAAAGACAGGCAACAACATTTTCATGCAAAGGCCAGAGGAGATCCTCCTCTGCTGCCACGTCTGCCACCCCTCCTCCAGCCTTTTCCCAGTGAAAGAGAAACAGCATTATCTCAGGCACTCAGTACCCTTCAGTTTCGAGCCACTGGGTTTCTTAATCACAACTGCATGTTCCATAAGAAAATTCTAAAATTGGAGAAGAGAAAAATACAAGGGGCCAAAGTTACTTACATGGCTGGAGAGGTGGGAAAATGGTATAGTTATTAAAAGTACAGGCTTTAGAGCCAGAAAAGACTTAGGTTTGAGTTGCAACTCCATCAGTAGCTGTGTGACCTTTAGAGAGCTACTTAAACTTCCCAAGCCTTAGTTTCCTCACCCATAAAATGTGTACCATTATATCCACCTCACACAGTGCCTAAGAACACAAAGGGACAATAATAAATGACAGCTACATATAAGAACATGGCATAGAATGAGAGTTCCAGAAATTATTTCCCATTTATCTCCTCCACTAAGGACCAGTTAACTCCTTCACACATATATGTATACAAAGACTCTAAGCAAGACAGGATGATTCTTTTAGACAGGAATATTAAGTTTTGGTCCTAAAACAACAGAATCAAAATTAGCTGAATACAACAAAGAAGAAATTTGTCCTGGATCCAGTTTCAAAGTCTTCCTTCCAAGGAGTGACTGGTGGGTTTGAACAGCCAGCCTTCTGGTTAGCAGTCAAATGCCTTAGACGCTATGCCACCAGAACTCCCATTTTTATAGCACATACAAATACGTATACAGAAATACCATCTGCCCATACATGGTCATGGGTATATTCCCATTTGCCTACCCATACCTGATCAACTTGCCTGTCTAACTATGAATCCACTTGTAGATCAATGTTTGTTATTACTGATAATACAGTATTGTGTATATAATGGTATTTACTTTTGTTGTCTATACCTCTTGTCATTTCTCCATGTCTTCCTTTTCCTTAGTGACACTGTACTGGTCACGGCTTTAGTACACTATTTTTTCCTTCATTCAAGTCAATAGGTGTCTCTTACCTAGCTAGCAATTTTCTCTCTGCTCCCATCCCTTGTTGTTGTTCTTGTTGTTATGTGCCATCGAGTCGGCCCCGACTCATAGCGACCCCTCCTTGGGTTTCCAAGGCAGTATCACTACAGAAGTAGATTGCCCAATCTTCCTTCCGAGGAGTGGCTGGGGGGTTTGAACCGCCAGCCTTCTGGTTAGCAGTCACGTGCCTTAGGCACTATGCTACCAGAGCGCCCATCCCTAGTAACCAACAAAGAAAGTTTCTTCTTGTTTGTGAACCTCTCCTTGACTTTTTCTAAAAGTGGACTAATTTCTTCATCATTTCTTTCCCACAGATGTTGTCAATTAGATTCCTGTGTATTCTTCTATCCAGTGAGATCCAAGTGTATAACCAATATTTATGTTGTTGAAAAAAACTCGGATAAATCATTGGTCTTACAAAACTCTATCATACTATCTCCAGAGTTGTTTCTATCACCAAGGCCATATTTTCCAACTAGTGATTCTTCTTCATTTTTAACCTTTGCATTCCAATCACCAGTAATTATCATTGTATCTTGAGTGCACGTATGATCAACTTCAGACTGTAGAAGTTGGTAAAAATCTTCAGTTTCTTCATCTTTGGCGTTAGTAGTTGGTGCATAAATTTGAATAATAGTCACATTAACTAGGCTCCCCTGTAGGCATGTAGATATTCTCCTATCATTGACAGCACTGAATTTCAGGATAAACCTTGAAATATTCTTTTTGATGATGAATGCAATGACATTCCTCTTCAGTTTGTCACTTCTGTCACACCAGACCATATGTTTGTTCAATTCAATATGGCCAATAACAGTCTTTTCAGCTCACTAATGCCTAGCTGTTGTTCTTCAATCATTTCATTTCATTGTGACACCTTCCAATTTTCTTTGATTCATGTTTCAAATTCCATGTTCTGATGAATGGATGTTTGCAGCTGTTGCTTCTCATTTTGAGTCAAGCCACATCAGCAAATGAAGGTCCTGAAAGCTTTACTTCTCCACATCATTAAGGTCGATCCTCCTTTGAGGAGGCAGCTCTTCCACGGTCTTATGTGGAGTGCCTTTCAACCCAGGGACCCATCCTCTGACATTCTATCAGACAGTGCCCCGCTGCTTTCACTGGCCATTTTTTCAGAAGTAGATCACCAGGTCCTCCTTACTAATCTGTCCTAGTCTGGCAGCTCCACTGAAGCCTGTCCACCATGGGGGACCTGCTTGTATTTGAAATAACAGTGGTGTTGCTTTCAGCATCACAGCAACACACAAGCCAACACAGTACAACAAACTGACGAAAGAGTGATCTTAAGTGATTATCGTATTATAATCAGTTGCTTACAGGTCTCTCTCATCCTAAGTAGATCATGCCCCTTCATCATTTATTTCAAACACGCAGCATAATGCTAACAAGTAGAAGACAGTTACAAAATAAATATTTGTTAAAAGAATTCATCAAAAAGCAACATAAAAGAATCTTGTTTTACAAAATGAAGGGAGTTTTCAAATACTTTACAGGCTAAGCTATCAGAGAAAAGGGATCAGGTTACTTTGGTGAGGCTCCAAAGGCAGAATTAGCACCAATAAGAAGGTGATCTTAGCACACTCCAGGGAAGAATTTTCTAACAATTGAGGTTATCTGAAAACAACTGCAATATATCTGGAAATAGTAAAATCCTAGTACATGCAAGTGTTCAAGCAGTGGCTGCATAATCAGCTCT